CTTCCTTGTACATCTGTAAAGTCAACATATTTTCCTCTAATACGCCTGCTCTGGTTCACAAGCAGCACAGAGGCCCACGATCCCCCAAGATATTTTTCCAACTAAACAAGTCTCAGCACGTTGGCTCACTGACCATAACCAGATCCTATCAGCAATGACGGCCATTCCCTGGCTAACTCTGTGTGGCTCCCCACCCAGGAAGGCCTCTAAGGTCACATGATTCAGAGTGCATTTCCTTAGTCATCTGAAGAAATCCCAGGATTCTCCAGGCAGCAACCTCTCTGGACTATTTCCATGCAATTGGTCATGCAGATACTGCTGGTGAGTGTATAGTCCTACCCTGTATCAATACCGTACGACACAGATTTCAAGAAATATATAAATTATTGGAAGTTAGTAACCCTTTAGCTCTTCAGCAGGCATTGATGAGTACAGCCCCAAGTGCATCCAATTTTCAAATTCACGTGTTGACTGATGGAGACCTACATCATGGCGGAAGCAGATCCTGGCGGAAGCAGACGGGTTCATCATGCCCTTTAAAGCTGAGGCTTAAATGCGATCTTATCATGTATACGCAGTGCTCAAGATGATATATGTAAATGATAATATTTTAAAATATTCTGCGTGTCAAGTTTTGTATTTCCCCCTACCGCCTTCTTCCATGGAAGTAAACACCCTTGAACACTACGAGGGCTGCCGGTACTAAATGCTGGCCTTAATCCATCAGGAAATCTGGCATTGAATCTTGGCTCAGCTGCTCATTTTCTTTGTGGCTTTCTGCAAGTCACCTCCCCTCAGTGCTCTTATTCATAAAGTAGAGAGAAGAAAGCATGCTTTATGTTAACCTTACACATGGTTGTGGTCTCAAGTGAGACACTGGACATTGTAGACTTAGAAAAGAAATAAAACTCTGTCATTTCTAAGTGCATGTTGTTATTCCCAGAGTCATGCTAGGCTACTGGCCAGGTCAAAATCTGAACCTGTACTTTGGTACCTGTGAGATCCAGGGCTTGTACTTACCTGTTTACAAGACCAGCATTTGGTCTATGTGCTGCAAACTTTTAAAGCCACTGAGTGACAAGAGGCATGGCTGCAAACAGCACCAACTCAATCAGGCCTAATCCTGACCAACATCTAAGATGGTGAATCTTAAAATAAGTATCTGTCCACCAAATACGTTCTTAGAAATAACAGAAATGGCTCTCTGTATTAAAAATAAAATGAACCTGAGCAGGCAGATAGCATGGTGTTAAGGGTGTTGTACTTCCACATGGATGGTGGTGGTTGGAGTCCCAAACCTGGCAGCTTGCTTTCTCACTTTCCCTCTCTCTTGCTTACTGTCCCTCTCTGGTCAAGTTAAAATAATAAAGTTAAATAAAATTATTCTTAAAAAAAAAAAGGGGGCCCAGAAGGT